AGTTGTCAAGTTATTTATTGAATGGCAAGGGACATTTCAGATTGATATCTATGACAGTCGCTTGAGTTTTCTGAAGCAGCATTTATGGTATTTAAATTATAATTTAATTGATTTATATTAATTTATTACGGCATTTTGAATTTCGGCATTAAAAATATTTATTTTATTTAATTTATATTATAAATTATGGATTTAAGCACTATAAATATTTATACATTTAAGCACTAGACATATTTATAGGTTCAACAATTATGTAAATGTACATATATAGAATTTGTGAATAAAAAATGTTATTTTGTATTTATTTAACATCCCGATATGTCAGATGTTATATCGTTTAATTATTAATATAAAACTAAAAATAAAATATCAATTTTCATAAAATCTTATGTTTGGCTTCAATAAACCTAATACCTGATATCCCCTTACAAATTGTATAATTTTACAGCCCATTGATTCCCACTGTGGCACAACAGATAGTCTGCCTGGTGGCTGGTTAAACTCCATTGACTTGTGAAAAATTGAAAATAAAAATTTTCCGCGACATTATTAAAGTAAACATTGGCGAAAAGGGTGTGATTATGACGAGCCAAGCACAGGCAGCATCAGCTAGGGGATCCAGGAAGCCCAGAAAACCAGGGAAGCGGGACAAAAAGGAGAGGCAGGTCCTCTAGCCATGGCAAGCTTCCAATTGTGGTGCCTGTTTATGGCGCTTGCCATGTGTCTGCGCGAATTGACGTCAGTTTTGAGGAGTATGGGGAAAGGGTAGGGGAGAGGAGGGGAGTATTGGGGCTGGCTGGTGTTCGTTATTCGCCTTTTGCCATTTCGCGTTTTAAAAAGTTCGGGCTCCCAGTGGCGCAATCAGCGCCCGGAATAAGCGAAAGGATGAGCGCAGTTTTTGGGCTGAGCCACCACAAAAGCATGCTACATTATTCACACAACCACATGCCCAGCGGGTGGGCGTGGCTGAGGTCTGAGGGCGGTGGTTCAAATGATAACAAGGCTGCTGATGACTTCCGTGTGCTGACTTGACTTCAGTCAACAGCCGCCTGACTTGGCTTCCTTAACCTCCTGACTGAAGCCGAATCAAAAATTGAAAATAAGGTTAAGTAGCTATTACACGCATACACGCCCCCGCACTCTTGTGCACATTATAAATGGCAATTTAATAAGCGTCAGCATAGCGAACCATTGAGGCGATGTCTTTTGGGCCGCGTAATTACCTTGGAAAATTTCATTAGAATTTCACGGCGCATTAGCGGCAGAAACTTGCTTCTATATAGCACTCACCATTTCCGATCCCCGCCAGGACCTCCTTTTTTTTTTTTTTGGAGGCCGGCCAGCTTACAAATGGCGGCAATCCGGGCGTAAAAACTTTTGCAAAACTTTGCATACTTGCTGGCGCGCGCGCTCGGCTTTTGGCCAGAAATTTGTATGTACAACGTGGGCCATTTGTCCGGAACCAAAAAAAATAAGGGAAGAGAAAAGAGCCACCCAAAAGCTGGCAATCAATCAATTGGTCAGGCTAATTGAAGCGGCTAAAGAGCAGCGATAACAAAGCGAGAAACGATGTAGCCAAAGTCCATTAGTAAGACGGAAATCTCAGATATTCTCCTACTTAAAATGCAGCTGGGACTCCTGCAAATATTGAATAAATTTAACGACACTTTCTACTGCTTTGCCGTATTACGCATACGTCAAGTGCGACACTTGGAAAGTCACCGAGTGAATTTTTCATGACTAATTGAGTGGCAACTTGGGAGCAATGAGCAGCGACGCTTCGGTTCATAAATAATTGATAATGGGAAAAGCGAGTTCTAGGATTGCCGTGCCATAACATAGATATATAGCCGTTGAATGCACCTGCGTCCCGCCCACGCACACGCAGATCCCTCCATGTCCTGGGACGCATTTCAATAATGGCTGCCATGGCGCCAGCGACAACTTTGATTGCCTGGCCTCAGTTCTGGAGTAAGTGTGGCAGGGGTCGGAATGTACTGCTCCTGGCAGTGCAACAAACTTAAACTACATAACATGCCATGGCAGTCCTTCTGCCGCTCGCTTGCCCCATTTGTGCACATGGAGAAAAGTTGGAAGTCCAAACTGCAAGCAGTTTTAATTATTTTATTTTAAGAAATGCAGTTTCCTTTACACCTAAAATAGACGGGTTAATAAGAAAAGGGTCTATAGCTAATGTTGGTAAATAAATTGAAATAATAAGGGATTTCATTTAGCAATTTAAATTCATAAAAAACATTACCCATAAGAACACAGCTTAAAATTTCCTATTTAATTTAAGATGAAGAAACGTTGATTCATTAGAAACAACATGATTACTTTATATAAAACTAAATAATATAAATGTTTTAAGTAATGATATAAAAATTAATTATTAGGATATACCAAAAATAGAAAGCAATGCAAAAATTAAATAAAATTAAAATTGAGAGAAAAGGGAATTCTTATAAATTTACAAAAGGCGAATAACTTTGACGAAATCTAAAAATATATTTGTTTTAATTTTGTGTGTTTCAGGCTGCGATTAATGGTTACCTAAGAAAAGCGAATGATACTCGCCTTTACCATCTTTATAGATCATTTACTCTTTGATATTATATCCCTTCTTCAAATGTCTGTTTTTAATTAACCGATTTAAGACCGTGAGTTTAAGTACTAATGAAAATTCAAATTAAGCTTATTCAGAATTGTTTTAAGGCTTAACTTATTTAAGTTTAAGTAGCTATCCACATTTGCTTCTGTGTACTTATCCTTTTCTCCTCTCGGTTCTGTGATATGCACACACTTCAACTCCCTCACAAAAGTCATCAGCAATAATGAGATGGTAATGTTAATGAAATTTGTTGCCCTGCTCTCGGGATCGGGCAAAGTTTGGAGTACCCGAAACCCCAAGGAAGCGGCAGCAGACTAGTCACTGAAGAGTACACTAATGAAGCCATTGATAAGCAGCGGGAGTAATGGCAGCATCAAGGACCCACCCAGCAGATACTCCCGAGCTCACATGGCCAAGTTGATTAGGTCATGAGAGTCATTCGCCTGCATATTTGGTTACAGCGCGAGAGACAATGGCTGGCATTACTCAACTTGTTTGGGGTTGGGATTGGGGCGGAATCAAAGGGACTGATTCTTCGGCTGACTGAATGCCATTACTGTTGCTATTTGTACTTGAAATCTCATTAAAGTTCAAGCACTTGTCTGCCGAAGAAGGAGTCTTAGGGTAGTGGCAAGAAGCAGAAGCAGAAGCAAGAGCAGCTAGTTTGCCTTCTGCCATAACGACAAGATTTAATTATACAACACAAAAGCCAAGGAAAGGCAAGGAGTCCAAACAACATCAACAAAAGCTGCGGCAAATTGAAATTTTTGCCCTTTGACTTTTGGAGGCAGCAAAGTCCTTTGCTTCGGGCCTCTCTCCACAAACCATTCTTCCCGTCCTGGCTATAACCGCAATTTACACAATTCACAAACATGTATGACGTGCATTTAAAAAGAGTGTGAAGAAAAAAGTTCGTATTGAAAAGTTAGCCACGCCCCGGTGCCAAAGTGCAGCTGGTATAATAATTGCGGTTATTCGCAGGAGTCTGCATCCTGCGGTCACTGCGGTTAACCAATTGGGCGGGCTCGACAGGCTCACACCCACACAAAGGACACCCACCCACTCACAAGCACACCAGTACAAGGCGGCCGACAGGAGAATTACAAAGGCATAACCCAAGGAAGGAATAACTCTTTGTGCGGCAGAAGGTAGGCAACGAAAAAAGAGCCAAGAAAAATAGGGAACTCGGAATACCCTAGGGGAAAACGGCAGCATAAACGATAGAGGAGGTTCAAAAGGGAAATTAACTAAAGAAATTAAACATTTGCATATGGTTTATTACATAACAAACAGCATTTTCCAGAAATGGACAAGAACGACCCTTTTTAATGTAATCTTGTATTTAATTTGAATTATAATGTATATATTTTTATCTACGAAAAGTCATACAAATTATTTTTGGGTCAGAACAATTTTTTAAATATTTAATGTGAAAGTTTAAAATTATAAAATAAGTTTCATTTACCGAAAAGTTTTTAGTTTAGATCCAATTTACGTGAAGATAAGATAATTTGATAGAAATACTGGTTATATTTATTTTCATGTATTAAAAGGAAGACTGCATTTATAAGAACCACAGAACCAAACATAAATTAATTGGGACCATCTAAGTTAAAATGCTCTCGAATTATGCAACATTGCTGGCAGACTCTGTGTGTTTATGGCTTACAGTCATCCCGAAGGGACTCGACTCCTCCTTTAAGTTCAGCACTTTGTTGGCTGACTGGGAAAAACTGCTGACTTGGCCAGAGGAGACATGCGGGGGCGGGGGAAGGTAGCGGGGCATCAGGTGAGACATTGGCCAGAGAAAACGAGACTTCCGCCCGAGCTGGCCCAGATGGATGTGCTGGATGGATATGGATGGTATGCCCCGGCAAGGATGCTCGGCATGCGGCGGCGTTTGGCAGGCCACTCGACCACAAAAGCATAAGTTGCCAATTAAACTGGAATGCTTTGCTGGTTGCCCGCAGCAGCAGCAGCAGCAGCAGAAGCTGCAGCACCAGCACCAGAGGAGCACCCCCGAAGGCTCCGCCACCAGAGAGACACAGCATAGCTTGGCATTAATTTCATAACCTGCCTTTTTATGGCCAACTACCCAAATTGGGTCAACATTGACAATGGCCGGGGCTGCAGCAAAGGAACAGGCGGAACAGAGGAAAGTAGAGCATTCCGGAGTCCAGAGTCCAAAGGACCTCACTTGGCACTCGCCATTCATTTTCCCTCTGTCTCTGTGTGCGTCTGTGTGTGCAACGTGGTGTTGGTTACGCTGCCACTTCCGTTTCCCAGTTACTTTGAGTGTAATAATTATCGCCGCATCGCTGCCTTTGCAATTATGCAAATTTGCCAGAGCTAATTGTCTATGATTTCTCTTTGGCCCTGCGAAACTTACTTGATCCGATTGTAGACGAGCAGCTCGGCAATGTCCCTGCCCAGTCCGGAATATGTGGTCTCCACGAAAACGAGGACCTTGGGATCGATCCGCAATCGAGCCTCGGAACGATGGTCGGGAGCTGGTGAGGCATCCCGGATGTGCTTGCCGCCCGAGTTGATCATGCGGCAGTTGATGATGGGAGCGGGATGAGTGTCACGTTGGATGAGACTGAAAAACAGAGAAATATTAATTAATTCTGTATAAGAAAGGTATGTGTAATAATAAGAGTGCTCTTTTAGAAAATTAAAATGTTTTAAAAAGACTACAAACATTTATATTTCCATTTCTACCTTTAGCTTTGTTTAATCTTTTATTTTACATATTCAAACGATGTTGGAATTCCCAACACTTAGAAACATTTTTAATGGATAAGGATTACATTTTATTTAAAACAATAAAAATCAAAAATATACTAATATTATGTCCATTTTTATATCCACACAAACCTTTGACTAATTTTTGTTCGTGTACATTTCCTGTCACATCCTATTTCTAAGTAACCGTAAACAACTATGCTAAACTTTAAGCTAAATGTTTCCCTTTGTTTTGTTACCTTTTTGAGCACACTGAAAAACCCCCTTCAAGCTCAAATATTTAAACATTTACCAAAGCAATTAAATGATATGAAGGAACAGACGTTGACTTTTGGAGCCATGACAGGGAAAATTCATGCATAAAAAAATATGTTAGATATAATAAAATGGCAAACTGCACAAAGCCCCGAAATGCAACATTTTGTTGGAGGGTAGATAAGCAAGAGGCGGCAAACTTGCCATCTGAGGGCTGTTCTTCCGCTCCAGATGAAGACGATGAGGCGCTGGCAGCGTTCATTTATTGTATTTGCTTTGTAGCGCAAATGCTGGAGGGGATTTTGGGGAACGATGGGGGAAAATTGGGGAGAAGCTGTGACACAACACCGCATGTTGCGAGCCAAAAATAAAGAAGCAAAGGGGGAACGGGGCAACGGCAGCCAAATTGAGATACGCGACAACGCTGCGTATGCGTAATATGCAAACATCGTTGGCGGTTGTCGTTAGCGTTGGCTTGATGTTGCGTTTGCCGGTGCCTGTTGGTTGCCACAAGATAAAAGCCAACCACCAGCCGTCTCCCAATACCGCATTTGTTATCCCACACGGGTAAAAATTTGCTTACAACATTTTCAATGCTATTTTTCAATTTAAACCTGTGCACAGAAAAAATATGTTTATAAATTAAAATATAATTGTATTATTTGTAATCAAGGAAAACAAAAGCAATCGTTATTTTTAATAAGAAAGGAGAAATTTTTAAGATCAATATTTAAATATTTCCTTGGATTTATTAATATTTATTAGTTAAAATGTTTTGATGTTTAATTTTATAATGTTCAATAAAAAAACAAAGAATATTACTTAAGTAATTTAATGCCATTCTTTTGTCGAGAAACTTTTTTGTGTGTTAAATTAATATTTATTATATCAGATTGAATAGATTTGATGAAGCAATAAATACACACATAGACATCAATTTCAAAGAAGACCTGTTTAATTAAGTTGTCTTTTATTTTACAATTCTTTACAAATAGCCCTTGACGAAATAAAGGGAATACCATATTAAACTATGATTTTTAATTTATTTATTGTTCTCAAAATCAGAACGTTTTTTGGTTTGGCTTTTCCTACAGTGCCTTCTTTCAGAAGCTCATCCCCAGGCCTGTGTCACATATCTTCATTGGCTTGGTGTTCCTGGGTCCTTGTGCTCCTTCGTCCTCTTTAAAAGGCAACAATGTGGCTCATTAGCAAACCAACAACGAGCTGAAAACTAAGCTACCTAATGTAAGTTTGTGAGTCTCAACTTTCCTTTCGGCTGTCTCTGTGTGTGGGTCAGAACTTTTCTCATAGGAGTGGAAAAGTTTGTGCCCTAAAACTACCTGAGAATCACCTTTGACCTGGGCAACTTTTCTATTTAGATTTTATCATACCTTCGATGCCCGGCCCCTTCTCTGTGCTTTATCCTTCACGTCGAGTGGAGCGTTTTATTATAAAGCTTATGCAATTTCCACATATCCTTGTAGCTTCCGTCTAACCTTTTGCGAGCCAGTCTTCAGGCAGTCCATTGCAACAGGAAGGAAAATAATAATAACAAAAACAAGCGGCAGTGAAAGCGCTTAGGTGAAAGCGGCAACATGTGTAAAATCCTTTTGCTGAGCGCCTTTCAAGTGAAATCCCCAAAATTAACAAAAACCTATTAGGCCAGGCCCCGAAATCTGCAAAAGGTACTGGTGCACAGGACATGCATGCAGGACCCACCTGGCTGCCTTGCAAAACGTAAATACTTTTTGCATTACACAAATAGGGAAAAGGCCGTGCGGGCGGCACGGATACCAGATCCTGGCAGGCTGGCAAAACTTTTGCACTGCCAAAACAAAATATTTAGATAGAAAACGAACACACACAGCACACCAAACACACGTCCACATAAAACAGGCAGGTCCACTAAAAATATCAGAAAGGAAAGTTTTGCCTTTCCTTCTTTTTTGCTACTCCAAATGCCCTATAAACATTTGAAAAAGTGTGGGGAATAATGCGAGTGTAGTCGGTAAATCAAAACATTAGCTATAAATATAAAAACGTACAAGTTTTACTTTAGAATCCAAGTGCACGTCAAATTTATGCGAAATTTGTGTGAGTTAACGAAATATTTTTGGGGAAACACCTAGAACGTGGCATCCAAATGGAAAATAAAATGTAATTTAACTCCACTTTGAACGTGTGCTGTGGAAAAAGTTTGAATATGCCTCAGATTTCAACTTATTCATTCCCTTTATTGAAGCATCAAAACGTAATTAAGTCATTTTGGTTGACTGTGAGGAATATAGTTTTAATTGAGACGGTGTAGTTTGTATACCTACATCAACATAATATTATTTATTTAGAAACATATCTAAGACACCTTCATTAAAACAGAGTGCGGAAGGAAACTAAACTTTTTTTAATAATAATTTTTTTTAAGCCTCCAATTACAACTTTTTCTTTCATGTTTCTTGTATGCTATAAATTCTGGATAAACTGACAGGAAGTTGTACAAAAACTTTTTCAATAAAATTCATTGTTATTCATATTAATAGGCTAGGAGCTATGAAATATGAGCTTCAAGAACGCAAATTAATAGTTTGTATTAAAGAAACAATACGTTATTAAAAATTAATTTTATTAAAGCAGCAGTTTTGTTTTTTGTCTTTAATAAATATAATACAATACAAAATATTGTAGATATTCTTAACTTGATAAAAGTAACACTTATTACTTGATTGATCAAATGTTGTTAAAAATTATATTGCCACTGTGTATTTACAACTTTTATGACAGTTTAATCTTTAAGAACACATTTATTTATCTACTTGCCCTAGTAAAAGTAACAAAGTAACTATTTCCTACTTTCGCAACCTTTACAGGACGTTTTCATAGTTGATCAGAGGAGGTAAAAACTTTTGCGATTCCTGATGCCCGACTCCTGCGGCATGATGAAGAAATTTTTGCTGCTTGCTCAGCCTTCTCGTTTGCATTCCGTGCAACCTGTTCTGTTTTGGCCTGGCCTCAGTTCGCTGATTTATTTGTGCACAGCACAAAATTTCCGTTTCCGCTGGCGAAGGGGCGATGGGCGTGGTCGAAAAGAAGGGGGGCGGGTACGGGGGTGGGATCGAAGGACCGTAGTTTCGTCTTTTGTGCTGCATAAATTAGGCAACAAAAAGTCAGTTTATGCATTTGCGACGTGTTATTTATGCGGGCGTGCAACAAACTTGGCAAACAGCTCGCTGCTCTCTTGCAAATGTTGCACTGTCAACGAAGCTGGGAGAAAAGTGGGTAAAAAGTGTGGGGGGAAAATGTGGGAAAACAGCGGACGAGAAGGCTTACGGCCATGAGCGTGGCCAAGGCTTATTAGTCAAGTTGAAAGACATGACGCGAGGCGGTTTTATTGAATCCGTGAGCGCATACATTACAGCATACACATACGTATATGTAACCCTTGGGACTTTAAAGCTTTTCCATCGTAACAATGGGATAGCCGCATGGCCCAGAATATGACTCTGAGTTTCTGGGCTAGCACCGCTCAGACAATAAATCGTATGTAAAAATTTGTACTAAATTTGCAAAGTAGCAAATGCAGCAGCCGCAAAACGGAGAAGCGCGGCCAACGGGGCGCATACGTAATGCAGATTTTCACCGAAAGAAAACCGAAAAAACGGGGAAGCCCCAGCCGCCGCAGCAAATGCATAATAAAATGCGAATCTAGCACAAGGATATGTGTATGCTATATAAAAGGGATATCTGAGGACAGAAAGGAACGTAAAAAATATTTAGTTCCCCCCCAAAAAGGAAAATGAATAAAGCAAACAAAAAAGGAAGAGTGCTGGGCAAATGCAAAAAGCAAACTAACTGGGGGAAAGAAGACAAAGCGGCCACTTAAACAAAACTGGTAAGAGCAAAGAGAAGCGAGCTGGCGAAATGAGCTGGCTGTGCAAACTAAGCGCAGCTTTTGGCCAGAAATATCGCTGGCGATTTGCGGTCGAAGCCTGTCAATGTCAGAATAAAGTAAATTAAACTTTAGTGCAGGGAAAACGTTTACTTTGGGGGAAGACTGTAATAGCAACAATATTGCACTGTCATTGTGGCTTGAACACCCACAGGAAATTCGGAAACGAAATTGTTCTTTTTTTCTATTTTATTATCTGAATACGACAAGAAAAGGTTGTACATTTAAGCTACTTTTAAATGATATACATTTTTAGAAGATATTTGATAAAAATTTGAAATCCTATAGTAAAAAAAACATTTTGCATTATTGATGAAAAGCTTTTGTGATAGCTGTGTTTTGAGAAAGTTATGTAGGTAAACAAATTGACTAGCTGAAAAGCAGTTTTAAGTTACCAAAAACGTTTAAAGCCTCCGATAAATTTTGTGATTTATATCTACACAAATTTGTCACACATTTTGTATACTTTATCCTTAAGAAAAACATTTTTTCACATACAATTTCATTAAAGAGCTTCCTACTTTTTAAAACTTAAGTATTGGCCTCATAAGGCAAGCAACTTTTATATTACCAGCAGATTTCGTCAAGCGAAAAGGTATGTTCTTGGATAAAGCTATAAAGGCAAATTGAATAATATTGTACAGCCATTGTGAGTCAAGTATTCTTCTTTGTTCCGCTCGCATATTTTCGAACTCGAGCAATAAGAATTCCTCCGGCAGTCGGCCACTTAAGAACAATTGGAACGAAAATCTGTAGAATGGTAACCGATGAAAACACTTGAAATAAAGCCTCGACATCGACGACTCAACGATTGTGGTCGGATCGACGGGGAAATGGGAAAAAAAGTTAATTAAATAAATCAAGCAAGGCAAGTTCAATTGAATTGCAGCAGGGAAATGAGTGGGAAAATGTCAGGGCAGGACGAACACAGGATGGAGAAAGGACTTCCCGCTGGGAGAAGCTGGACACTCGGCCAAATGAACTGTGAACGGGGAAAAGTCGGGAAATTGCCAGACGGCGCGGGATGTGCAAAAGGCGTCGTCCAGCGTCTGCCCGTTTGTTTGTTTGTTTGTAATTGCATTTAAAGCAAATAAATGTAATTATTTATTGCATTTCGCAGCACTCGACACAACGGCAGACAACACTGGCCAGTTGAGTGTCCTGGAATCCCTATATGAGATTCGTTTCGTTTCTTTTGCCGCATGGATTTGTGCAAATACGCATATGTAATCGCATTTTAACAACGTGCATTCAATCGATGACTGCGTCTCTTTCCCGCGGCCATTTGTCGCTTATAATCGCATTTTCAATTAAAATATTTAGTCAATTAATGCACACAAATGTGAATCACATCACGTATATGTCATGTACAACGCAAACAAAAACACTCGCTGTTTACGCTCAAATTACTCGACCGACAGCAGTAATTTATGTGTTGATTATCGAGAGGCATTTGGCGTTTTTAGTGAATTTATTCCAGTTTTAGTTTTCCGCGTATGGCAGGACGTCCTGCGGAAAAAACACATCTAACATCAAATTGCATTTATCGCACTTAACACGCAAAGCAAATAATGTCCCAAACTAACACTCAAGCGGACATAGTATATGTGGGTCAGAGTGTGTGTTTATATATACGTGTTTATTTGGTGACAGCCGTTGTGATTGCACGTGACAGGCGACCAGATAGTCGGAAGCGTACTGCCAGGATAACAGCTAAATAAATGCATTTGTCAGCGAAATTAGCAAAGTAAATCACAGAACATTTCAAATTTAAATGGATGACGAAGCGTATTAAATAAATGACTTGATTTTTGCGGACCTTTCTGTAATTTATTTGGGCGCTTTTCCCGGCATAAGTTAAGAGTTTAAGTTTTTTTTTTGTAAATAACAAATCTTAGTTTAAATGTGTTTTATTTTCATATATCTTGGTAGCGATATTTTCAAATTTTGTTAACCTTTTTTATATAAAAGCATAGAATATGTTAAGACTTGGTATAGAAAAAATAAAAAGTTAAAAAATTAAGAAAAAGTAAAAATAATAAAAGTAACAGTAACAGTAAAAGACATGAATTTATTTTCTTCATCACAAAAAATATAAGTTCACTAAGGTACAATAGAAATTAGATTATGAGCCACCAAAGCTTTTGAATTACAACATTAGGAAAATTTAAATTATTCAATTCATTTTACGAACTTCCTAAAAATGTTTTGCATTTATGTAAATTTATAGTTGCCTAAAAAACACTTGTCATTCCTTTAATATGTACAATATTAAGTATTTGGATGTTTTGTAATCCAATTTTATTGGCTGAAACCCAATTTGCAACTGCCACTTCATTTAAATGCGGAATTAGAAATTACATGTTTTTAAAAATTCATGTAAATTGGTGTATTTTTGCAGTGAGTTTTGTCAGGTTTTGCATTACAAATCAATTATTGCCGGCGTGTCGAAATGGTGTTTCTGGCTGTCCATCCCGCTGCCACTTCCCCTCCCCCCTTGTCACACATCCCCGCCTCTCTGTCAGTCACTCAGTTTCATGCAAATCACGTACGTTTGCATTTTGTCAAAATGCGTTTTGCACCTACAAAGGCAACAGCAGCAGAAGCAACAACAAATGCATTTATGCATATGCCAGCCAGTGTGTGCTTGTGTGGGTGATCCCAGTAGTGGCTTTGTGTGGGTGTGCGAGTGCAAATAATGACAGACAGCATAAACAAACACGCACATCAGACTCTAACTGGCGTCTATGGCCACAGGGGCAACCTCAGTAGCGGAGGAGCGAAAGCCAGGATGCAGGACACGCCCACAAGCGCCCCCACCCACCCACAGACCCCCACACACACACACACACACTCAGGATCAAGGAGAGGGGCTGGCTTTAAACTTGGCACGTCACTTGTTTCCGCATTTTGCACGTAACGGACGGATGGCCATAAGAAATACGGCATGCACTTAAAAAAAAAATAATATTTTTAAAATACTTTTCAATAAGTAAAAGAGAGAAAGAGATTTATAATCAAAATACAGGATTTATTTAATTATCCAATTATGTGTTTCAGAGGATACTATTATTTACCTACATAACAAAACTAAACTCACAAAAAAAAGCTCTAGATTTGTATTGGAGTTCAGTTCCTAGCCTGTTTAAATTAATACGATTCTTTACTCAGTATGAGTACCCTATATATTGTGTGTTTTCACTTTCTCTAAGTGGAACTAGTCCACAACTAACGCACACACCCGCAGCTCTCTCTTACGCATGCAACAATCATGGAGCCCAGGCCATCAGAATTCATTAAAATTTTGCATACACACATGCAAACACATGTCGCATACAATTACTCGGACTCGGGCTATTCAATATAAGGCAGGTCCTTTTTGGTTCTGATTGATGGTAGCCCACTTAGCCAACTAATGAACTTTGCCACAGTCTTGGACCGTAAATTAAATTTCAGGCACTTGACCAGGGTAAATATTTAATAATCAACTGGCATTTGAAAATTGTAAATAACATTTTACCTCGACAAGGATAAGAACCAGGCTCCTGCTGTTGTTGTTTTCGGTTATGCTGGCGTGTTGAAAAGTGAGAAAGGTAAAAAAAAAAAAAACAAAAGCAAGGGTCCACCCACGCAACCAACTTTGCAGCAATCTTCCTGGCAACGCTTGATGAAAGTAATCAAAAACTTCGCTGGTTGTTTGTGCAACTACTGCGGGGTAAATGGAATGGGGTTTCCGCAGAACTGTTTGTAAACCATAATTGCGCGCAAAAGTAGCTAACAGCTAACAGCCAGGTGAGCAAAATAACTGCTGCCTGGCAGCCAGCTAAAAATTTCATGTGAAAAATTTAATATACACCCGCCATTCTAAAGAGGAAAACTCGCACAATAATCACCAAAAAGAACACACTGCAAACTAGTGCGAACAGCCAGCGAAAGCTTCTTTAGTTACGCGCACAATTATGAGCAATATTTTTCCCGCATTTCCGCCCACTTTTCCCATTCGAGGACCACTTCGGAGTTCACCCTATGCGAAAAGCTTGCACCAAATGAGTTTTATTCTCGAGTATGTCATGGAGTAGACGGGAAGTCGAAAAAGAAACCCCAGGTGCTGCTGCTGCTGCTGCTGCTGGGTTTTCTTTGAGCATGAAGCCAACCAAAAAGGTGTTGAACTGAACTCAAGCAAAAGTGGAACTTGTCGATAGCAATGGGTAAAATGAAACTTTCCTTTTTTGTGTCGCTGGCGCAAAAAGCCATAGAAAAATCGCCTGATGATTTGCGAAAGGTTGTTTGGGCGACCAGGTGAAACTTTTGGGGTACTAAAAATTGAATGGGACTTAAAACTTTGAGAAGTGCATAGAAGGTATTAAAATTTTAGTGCTGCTTTTCGCGTGAGCTAACCGAAATTCGGATTAAAAATCCTTTTAAATCTCTGCCGCGTAACATGACTTTCCGTTTACTAGAAAAAAAGGGTTTACCACATAAATATTTTTCAACTTACATCTATCCTTTTTCGTACTTTTTTGGCCAGCCACACACCTGTTTTAATTTAATTTGCAGCATATTGAAAACAACTCGGCTCCCTGGTTCCCTCGTAAACCACTCGAAAATGAACAAAAAATCCAATCAAACAGGGCACACAACAAAACGCTTCCCCACGTTCATAGCCCACAGAACAGAGCAGACATGAAGTGCATTTTCGCCATCGACGCCACTTGAGCACAATAAAAATTCGCTGAAATGCTCGAAAAAAAAGGGTAATGGGCACGGTTTCAAATCAGATTTAACCTAAACAATAACAATTGATCCGCTTTTTCTTGCTTCGAAAACTCAACCTCAAAGGTGACGTTTAATATTAGTACAAATTATTAAAAGAAATTAAATCACTAGTTTTAGGGATCCTTAAACAATAAACTAATTAAACCTAATTAATATTAAAAATCGTAATTTCCATTTTATGAATAAATCTCAAAGATTATTTCTGTTCAATAAAATATAATTTAAGCCTGTTTCTTTTTCAATCGCTTGTGTTGCAATTTACCAAATTCTTACTTTAACAATTGTTAATTTTTTTGCTCAAATAAGAGCCAATCTTCATTATACAAATGTATAAACCAACCTAGTTATAGGATAGGCAAAAGACTCTCTTGTCACCCTCTGATATGAGCTTATCTATGTAATTGCATTTTAAAGACCTCTAGCAAAACGGGAATAGACAGGCCAAATGTGCTGCCTCCTGAACCCCATCAGCACGCAATTTTAATGGCATTGCACCTCGGTTAAAACGGTCAGAAGAGGTCACTCTTTGATTCATTTCATTTCATCCGCTACTCACCCATTGAACACGCCCGTATCGACATAATGCGTGTAGTAGAAAATGCTAACCACCGTAATGGCCAGGAGCGCAAAGACACAGCGTCGCACGTTGATGCCAAAGCAGCGACGTGCAATTAAATTACAGCAATGGCACATCCAACCCGATGGCTCGTTGCCACCGAGTCCTCCGCCAGCCAGGTGGGTGCTGCTACTGCCGGCCATGCCAATTGACGTTGATGAGGTAGGACTGCCGTCGAACTCCAGGCTGATACTCCCGTTGCCATTGACGTTCCCATTCGCGTTCCCATTCGATTTACCCTTGTACGTGACAATGCCGGCGGCGTTGGCAACATCGTCCTCCAAAGGCAGCAGCATTGTGCGATCTGTGATGACATGACCATTGCCGAAATGCTTATTGAAATTGCTAAAGTCCTGGCCGACGACATTCGCATCCGCAACTCGGCTGGAATCCACATCCGTTTGCGTTCCGGTCACGGACGTTCCAAATTGCATCTGCGGCTGCTTAATGAGTTTTTCATATTTGCGATTTGCATTGTTATTATGTTGAATGCTTCCCGATATTGTCATATTGTCGCCGCTCTGCCTCGCTGCTCGGTGGTACTCTATATATCTATTTAATTGGCGATATGTCCTTCGATTTCTATATTGACTAAACAGAGCGAACAAATTGCAAACACTCGCTTTTCACTATGGCACTTCGATTCCGTTGCATGAATGTTTATTTTCAGTTGTCCAGTTTATTCTATAAATATGTATATTTTTTACGTTCTTTCGCATAAATCTCGTTTTTATAATATTCTTTTCGCTTTGTTTACTTTTCATTTCGCCACTTGATATGTTTCCAAATTTTCAAATATTCATTTTGTTTGGCCATTGTGGCGCACTGATGTTGCAATTGTTGTTTCGGACAGGGCAGACGGCCATTATCAGTCATATAAAGACGGAAGAGACCCAGTTCCAGACTGTCCACTCACAATCAGCCATTGACTGCCATTCATTCCAGTGGGGCGTCTTCTTATCTGCAAAGCAAATAAAATAGAAAACATAATAAATAAATAGTTGTCTTCATGAAGTTTGCTCGAAAGGCAAGAGGTATAAGAGGTAGATTTGAATTAGCAGTAGGAAAATCGTTATCACCTAAAAAAAAACAAGGTGTATCTTTGTGTAACTATAAGCTTTTTTATCTAATCAGGTCAAGAAGTTGTTGAGTTTTGTTTACTAATAAAGTAAACAAAAAAATATAATTAAACTACAATCAAGATAAATGAATATTAAACAAACTTAAGTTCTTAATTTATTGTGGAAATTAAATTTTGTTAGCAATAACTATTGTACCATTTTGTACAAATTAATATGGCACCACGCAATGAAATTTATTTTATTTGGAAGTATGTAAAACAAACAGAAATAGGAGTTATTAATGGCTGAACATAAATTCAGTTCAAATCAGCCCCTTCCGCTAATTTACTACTCCTATTTCAATATACTTTGTGGCACCTTTGGTTGTCAGCCCTTTTCAATTATATGTGTCACGTTTCATCGATCATCGTTATCACAACTAATTGTTGGTGTCATTTTGGTTGCCCTGCCCTGGCGCCAAACAATTTATTTTGAGTTCCCTGCTCAGGCTTACGGTTACCAAAAAAAAAAAATGTGCTTTCGTTAATATGTACCTAAGAAACTTGTCAATTTGTTTTCACGGACTCCTCAAATGGAATGTAAACAAAGTTCTAAGGAAGCCGCAAATAAAGCGACAAATTGCCAAAGCCGCAAAACGGGACATAGATACGAATGTATCTCGAGGTCTACCCTGAATTTGCCCTGGTGAGTGTGTGCTTAGCCATTAAGTGCATATGCCTGCCGCAGTTTACAAAGGTCTTAATGGCCCTACACATACATATATAAGCACTCCCCAACATATTTGGTGCGCGGTGTTCAGTTTAATTGGAAATGGTTGCCGGCTGTCAACCAAAAATAAAGACAACATACTTCGGGGCGCTTTATGTCCCGGCGAAATGAGTCAATAATGAGTTTTAGATGGCCAACGATGTTTGTCATGATGTTATGTCCTCGATAAACAGCACTCGAACATGTGTTCCCCGATAATACAACAGATAAATATGTACTAATGTGATTCTCGAGGGTGGATTATAAGAATTTCAAGGAGCAGCTTTAATGACTTGAAGCATGGGAAAAAGTATACATAAAAGCATGTGTCATAATTTGCTATATATATATATTTTTAAATGTTTAAATTTTTTAATTGCCTTGTTTCTTTTTAATTTTTTACATATTGTGGTTGTTTCAACTATATAACAAGAAAGGAAAGCTAACTTCGGGCGGAGCCGAAGTTGATATACCCTTGCAGAATATTCTGTAAATTATATTGGTTGAACTCTCAGTTTTAAAGATATCGAATTGAAACTTTGCACACCCCCTTCGTTCCTTTGCACGCAGTATATAAGTCACCGAACCAAACTGGGTGTCTGGGTTCTGCCTTAAAAACATTTTTAAAAATAAATTTTTTAAATATATTTCCACTACTTATTTAAATAATAAGTATTAAGGAAATTCGTGTACTATAGACAGCGATTCGATAAATAGTATTTTTCTTTTGATTGTTACCAGATGATACCTTTTTACTTCTATTAGAACGCTTTTAATCGATTGAAAAGTAGTGTTAAAAGATTCAGCAATTCATTAGCACAGAGGTGTAGTTTCTATCCCAACTGTTAGGTGGCAATCCAGATCCTTCAATCTAGTAGCTTTGCCTGGTCACTTTGAATTTTCCTGAATGACAGTTGTCGCCATTTACCCTTTCCCCAATTTCATTTGGCAGCAGTCACCCGACGTTTGAGCAACTCAGCAGCAGCTCCGGAAAATTAAAAAAAAGTGGGGAAAACCGAGGCCTGAACGTGTAATTTGTTCACAGTGTAAGAGATCAAGTTGAAGAGATGCCCAAGGAGAAGGGGAGGAAGGCAGAGGTCGGAGTTGAGCCGCCCACAAAGCGGCAGAGGAAGGATCGCAAGGAGCGCAAAGATCGCATGGAGGTAATCCCCACCGGGGGAGGAGGAGAAGGAGGAGGAGAAGAAGGAGGAGAAGGAAAAGGAGAAGGAAGAGCTGGTCCAAAGGTGAGGGACAGGTCGCCCACCCCCTCGATCGCCACGAAGAGCAGCGATTGGGGCGACAGCGAGTCCAGCTACTCGGACTCCAGCTTCAGCTCCACCGCATCCTCCAGCTACTCCAGCTCCACCAGCAGCAGCTCCTCGTCCAGCGACAGCGATGAGGATCCGGAGGGCTCTACCAGGAAGCCGGATCGTCCGAAGCTCTCGTGCTGCCGCCACCGGCATTATCACCGCCATCGGCGCTACCACCACCGCCACTCGCACCGCCGTCGTGGGCGTGGCAGCCGCCACCATCGCTCCGCACACGGCCGCTCCACGAAACGTTCCTCCAGGAAGGGGCGTCGCGACGCCACCTCCTCCTCCGTCAAGGCTCCAGTTGTGATCAAGGAGGAGGCCCCCGCGCAGGCCATCCAGACACCGGGCCCCATTCCCCTGCCCGTGCCGGCTCCCATTCCGGCCGTCCTCGCCACGCATCCGCAACCGCAACCGCATCCGCAGCCCGTGCCGGCTCCCGTTCTGGCCCCTGCCCCTGGTCCTGCTTTTGCTCCTGCTTCTGCTCATGCTCCTGTTCCTGCTCAAGCTCCTGCTCATGCCCATGGTCATGCTCATGGTCATGCTCATGCTCCGGTGGCCAAGCCAGCTCCCCAATCGGTGCCCATGGAGCATCATCACCGCAAGACGCGCGTGCGCAGCTCCGGTTCCGGCTTGCAGAACCTCATCCCGGCCACCAGCAGCCAAAACCAGGCCGTCTTCCAGTCGAAGACCGTCACCGTCACCAAGAGCACCGCCACTCCCACTGCCGCTCCAACCGCCATAACCATGCCCAGTGAAGAGCAGTCGATGGGCAATTCCTCAAAAGGCAAAATCAAGGTCGGCGGTGCCCGATCCTCCACCACAAAGATACCCCTTGCCAATGCCATGGCCAGCGAATCCGCCACCCAGGTCAAGACCCCGGTAGCCAGCTCCTCTTCGAAAGCTGTGGCAAATCCTGTTAATCCCCATTCGAGCCACTCCAATGTCAACCCCCCCACCGTCGGCAAGCCACCTGCATCGAAGGAGCACATCAAGAATCCGGAGACCAGCAGGATAAGGACTTCCAACAATAAGCGACCGCCTCGTGGACCTACCACGCCCACTGGTCCGGCACCAAAGCGTCAGCGGGATGATGAGCGGAGTGATGGCTACCAGTGGAAACAGCAGCGTAATCGTAGTTTCGAAGGATCAGGAGGAGGCGGAGGAGGAGGAGCCAGAGGAGGAACCAGAGGAGGAAGAAGAGGAGGAAGAAGAGGAGAAGTAGGAGGAGGTGGTGGAGGAACCAGAGATGACTCTATTGATTATCCCGACGCCGAGGGCAGCCAAGTGGCCTACCGCAACGGCAAGCCCACCATCAGATTCCGCCAGCCCGTCCGCACTGTGCGTCTCCACATCAAGGGACTCACCCGCCAGGTGACCAAGGAGCACATCTCCGAGATCTTTGGCCACTTTGGCGCCCTCACCGCCGTCGACTTTCCCATGAACCGCTACCAGGGACGCCAGGGGCGTGACTACGCCTTCGTGGAGTACGCCCTTCCCGAGGACTGCGCCTGCGCCATCAAGCACATGAACGGCGGCCAGATCGACGGCAAGCGGATCATGGTGTCCGCCTTCCAGGACAGCGTGCTGAAGGCTCCGTGGCGCCACAACCGCCGTTACTCGCCAGTGAATCGCCGCCAACGCCACAACTCGCCGTCCCGCTCTCGCTCACACTTCCGCTCCCGTTCCCGCTCCCGTTCGCTGAACTTCTCCCGCTCCCGCACCCGTTCCCGCTCACGTTCCCGCTCGCAGTGCAAGTCAGGATCGCGCTACAACCGCCGCTACCGCACCCCCTGCCGTTCCCCCTTTTCACGCGGCCGCTCGTCGCCGCATTACCAACGCCCTATTGAATAAAAAAACGTTGATCACTTTTGAATCCCTCAACATTCAAGCAAAGCCATAAATATTTAAAGCAAATCTAAGCGTGTGAAGTATTTGCATCAGAGAAAGTCAAACCCTTTCACTTAACCATAGTTTTTCAATTTATACGCTCAACTTCGAACTTCATTTCACTTCATAAGCAAACCGCTTGCCCTCTTTCTTGGGAAACACTTAGAGCAATTTATAAACTGGATTCTTCCGAAGGAGCCGCAACAGGAATTACAGCGGAAAGCGAGGGTTCCAACATCCATTGCTGGCATTCCTTGCCCTTGTTTTTCTCTGCATGTTACAAATTTATCATTAAAATGTCAAAACTTAAATTGATTCAAAAAGTTTAGGAGCGGCAGCAGTGACAATGCTGCCACGCCCCCGCCCTACGCCTACTCCGACAACGCCCAGTGACCCCGCTTTTCATTGCTGCCACTGCAGCAGCAGAAAACTCAAGCAGTGGCTGAAAGAAAAAGTTGGGGCTGTTGTCGGGAAAGCTTTTGCTAGGGGTTTTTCCTTTCTTTTCCTTCTGATGATGCCGCATACTTTAAGGCGCGCTGGCAAAAAACTTTCTGCGCTTCTTCGTTAGGCAAACTTGTTTAATTTCCTCTTCAATTGCCCGGGAAACCAAGCGAGACAAACCAAAAGTTGTCCTGCCCCCGAGTCTATCTGTGTCTTTCATTCGGGTTTTCTTTTTGGGGTTTTTCTTAAGTTTTTTTTATTCAATTGTTATTTGTTTGCTGGTGATTTGCTCGTCAGGCAGTCTCACAATCTAAAATTGTTTGGTAAATATAAGAAAATTATTATTTATTTCAAGAAGTGATGTGTTAATTTTGATAATTCGTTTAAACAAATATTCATTTACTTAGAGTTAATAAACATATTTGTATGCTACTTGATTTAAAGGCTTTTATATTGTTTCAATATTTTCTTATACTTTTCATAGGAAAATA